TTTTTTTAAGGGCGATGGCCTTGTCTTATTAAGTTATTACCATCGGACTACCCTGGGGCGTGGAGTCCTGGAGGCTAGACCCACTAGCGAAGTATTCTATGACATGTGACACAGTTTTATCAACTTTTATGGTTTTTCGGAAAATACAAAGTGGCCTGATAGCCTTAGGGTGGCCTGATAGGCTGTGATAGCCTTTTCAGCCAAGGGTGGCCTGATAGCCAAAGGGTGGCCAGAGAGCCCAGGGTGGCCTGATAGCCTTAGGGTGGCCTGAAAGCCCACGGTGGCCTGATAGGCTTAGGGTGGCCTGATAGCCTTAGGGTGGCCTGATGGCCTTTTCAGCCTTAGGGTGGCTTGATAGCCTTAGGGTGGCCTGATAGCCCGGGGTGGCCTGATAGCCTTAGGGTGGCCTNTGATAGCCTTAGGGTGGCCTGATAGCCCGGGGTGGCCTGATAGCCTTAGGGTGGCCTTTTTAGCCTTGGGGCAGGACGCTGGTGGCCTCTCTCTCTCTCTCTCTCTCTCTCTCTCTCTCTCTCTCTCTCTCTCTCTCTCTCTCTCTCTCGTTGGTGTGTGGAAATAGCAAACGGTGTGTGGAGTTAATCTTGCCCTTTTTTTTTCCGTTTATTTTCCCTCTTTCCCTCTACCACCCGCCTGTCCCCCAGCCGTCCCACACCAGTCACACTGTTCCACATACGTGGCTAGTGGGATCGCCCTCCTGGAATCGGAAGTTCCGCCTGTGGAACGGTTGCCTTGCGGAGAACATTGTCATTTTTTTGACAAGGGACAGAGAACATCGGCGGTTTTTTTTTTTTGCCTCCGAGTTCTGAGTTGTTTTTAGTGTTCTTTGGTTGTTTGTTTTTTTGTTTCATGTCGTCTTGTGTTTTCCCTCTGATGTCCAGGTGTTCTGCACTTTACGTTCATCGTTTTTGCATGTTTCATAGCATTTCTTTGCCGCTCTAACGCCGACTTCGATCTCTGTTGCGAGTTGGCAACATTCTCAGAGGGTTCCGATATCGTCTTTTTTTTTCGCGGTTGGCGACTTTCATCATGTCGCAGGACCGGGGGAAGGATCCGGTAGACTCGCTCACGACCGCCCGACAAGGTCATAACACGAAGACGTTTGACTCGCCGTTCAAGGTCGACCCGACAGTCGACGGCAAGCGGGACGACCCGGTGTGGCATTTTGTGGCCAAAGGGCGTTATTTGGATGGGTCGACGGCGGCGGGCAGGAAGAGCGGTCGTCGATGCCTGTGCAGGTTGTGCGGGCGTTCGATTTGTGGGGGCGCTAAAGCCGCCAAGGAGCACTTCTCGAAGAGCGAGAAGTTCCGATGTGAGGCAGCCACTCCTGCTGTGTGGAATGCGATCTGGTCAAAGGACATGACAAAATGTTCAAAGGAGTTCGCGCCGGCCATAGAAACGTTGCAGTGCCACTTGCCAGGTCATCCGAGCTTGCAGTGGCCACCTCTTCGATTCCCCGAGGACGCAGTGCCGCCGCTGGTTCCTCCCACCGCCCCTTCTGGAGCCGTTGCATCGCCCAATTCTGGGGCTCCGGCCATTCGAGTCACGGTACCGCGTCCTGCAACAACAGTTGCAACACGACCGGCAGCCCCGCCGTCTRCGCCGCTGGCTGGGACACGAGGTGCTCGCGATGTGGGAGTTGGTCGTTCCACGCCAGCCAACGAGCCCCCGCCTCTGAGGGATGGTGTGGGCTCTGCAGCATTTGACGAGGAGAGCACACGTGCATTTATTGAGAGTCACAGGTGGGGGGAGAGTGCCAGCAGTTCAGCGTCCGCGCTCGCCCCTGTTTTCAGAAGTGCTAGGCAGTCAGATGCCGCACGGGGTGGTACTGAGGTGGCACCTGGCACATCACCCCGCACTTCGTTGGAGCACCCCTGGCTGCCACCGCCACCGTCGAGAGCGGCGCAGCGTCCAATGGTCCACCACGCTAACGGAACCGCCCACCCGGATCCGTCACACGCACCTGCAGATGCTCGACATTCTGCTTTCGTGCCTCGTTTCGGGGAACAGGTGGATCATGGGGTGCCTGCCGAGGAGGTCCCCGCTCCGGTGTCCGATTCATTGCCGACCCCTATTCCGACAACCACGGGCGGTGGTCGGTCTGCCCCACAGCCTCCACCCGTGTTGACCGGAACGTTAGACCCTTTGCAGCGCATTCGTGACCTTGCAGTCGCCCAGAGCGCGACACCTGTGAGCCCTGGCGGGTTGTTGGATGCTGGGGTCCTCGGCGGGACGACGTCCGGGCACTTTCTTAGGCAGCAAGCCGTCACGTCATATTATTCGGACCCTTTGGAGCGCGCATGGCATCTGTAAATCATGTGGTTCATCGTCGAGAGTGGGATGCCGTTCAACAGCACGAAGCTTGAAAGTTTCAAACGCATGTTCACGATGATAATCCCGTCGGGGGTTCCAGGGGCGCCCGCGCCTAGACTTCCCTCGTACCACATGCTGCGCACGACCCTTTTGGACGAGCTGGATGGTGAGGTCCAGAAGTGTGTTYGGCCGGKGCTTGACACGTCGAGAGAGACCGGTTGCACAATCATGACYGATGGTTGGACCAACATCCGTGGTCAGACGTTGTGCAACTACCTTGTTGGTACAGAGATCGGGGTGGTGTATGTGTCCACCGACGTCATGCGTGGCAAAAAGGACGCCAGTGCCCTCGCGAACGCATGGTTGAAAAGGGTGAAGTCYATGGACGTTCAATTGAGCGACATCACRRCGTTCRTGACGGACTCCGCCGGGGTGAACGTCGCGGCGATGGAGGTATTCCAAAAAGATGAGAGCGTGAAACACATCTTCTGGATTCCTTGCGTCGCCCATATCATGGATCTCATTCTCGAGGACATCGGCGGGATTGATTGGGTGGCTTCCCGCATTTCTCAAGCGAGGCTGGTTACAAGGTTCTTCAAGCGCCATGGACATGCGAGAGAGGTTCTTGAGGCGCACTCGACGAAGACTCTTCTGCTACCGGCGGAGACGCGTTTTGGCACGAACGTCATCATGATGGAGAGGCTGGTGGCACTGCGGGCCGAGTTGACAGATGTTGTGGCTGACGATCGCTGGCGCGAGACTGTTTGGTCGACCAGCAAGATCCGCAAGGATGCAGCGGAGGTCACTGCATGTATCGGCTTCCCTCCATGGTGGGAGGATTTGAGAGCTCTGTGCAAGATGCTAGAGCCCATCATGGGCATGCTGAAGTTGGTGGACAGTGACACACACCAGATCAGCAAGATTCTGCGACGTTACGAGGAAATGATTGCATCTTGTTTATCCGCATGTCGTGACATTGATCGCGAGCAGCAGGACGCTATTGTGGAGGTGTTCCACAGGCGGCGCACCATGTTCAAGACCCCCGCCCACACGGCAGCCATGCTGCTAGATCCAGAGTTCCGGGACGCGACGCTTTGTGACGATGCGGAGGTGCAGCAGGCCTTGGTCGAGGCCCTTGTCCAGTTCGGCTACCCGGAGGATTCGCCGCAGCACCGGGAGGTCCAACGAGCGGTCGCCAAGCTCCACACGAGGGAGCCCCCTTTCGATGAGCT